CACGGCTTGAGAAGATAAACCATTGTCTCCGATCTGATAGACGTCGCAACTCGCAATTGTATCACCGCTGCCGTCCGGTCTGGGCGTTCCGTTCCACGTTGTGTCGGACTCTAACGGGTTCATCACCACCAACAAAAAGTAAACCGTCTTCATTGACGGCAGGTGTGTGCTGTGTGGCCGCTGGCTGGAACAGCCCTCCCCACCGGCTGTCAGCGTCTCCGTACGAGTTGGGTCTCTGAGGACAGCGGTGGACATTGTGACCTTACCGAGTTACGGCAGACAGCGCGGCTCCTGTCCCGGTGGATTTGATTGTGGACAACCGATCTCCGCCGCGGCTGGGGCTGTCTCAGAAATGGTCGCCGGTCGGTTAACCCTATTCCTGGCGGGGGGGGCCTCAGGAGCCCCCCTGAGGTTTTTTGGTTATTTCTCCCAAACGCGTTGAGCTAGGAAGCTCAAATTTTCTGACTTTTCCTAAAAGGCTTCTACGCAACATGTCTGAAAATTTTGAGCTGATCTGACCTCAGGTCAGGTCACCAGAGGCGGTTTGGTGACCCTACCTCAGAAAAGTTTGCAATCACGCCAGAGCTAGAGTTTTTGACCGATCAATTTCTTCTCTTCAGGCTTTAGTTAGGGTACCAGTATGTGCAATTTCTATATCTCGGAATTTTGATATCGGTGACCTAAGGTCAGGTCAGTTTCGCGACCTCCCCATTATAAGTCAATGGGGGAAAAATCAACTCCCTGTTTTTACCACTAAAACGGGTCGGAATGGCCCCATATACCATACTGTAATAGAATTTAAACAACCGAACACCAGTAGCGCCCAAAAGTCTCTCGTTTATTCCCAAAACTCTCCAAACAAATTTGTACGTACAATTATTTCCGCGTGGAATAATTTCACGCACTTCAATAATCATACCACTTCTGACACACGCCCCTCTGATCTTCAAGATCACTAAAACGCACACACACAAAATATCAAAAACATTATCTTCGGTCATAAAACCGCGGCCAAACCGTGCACCTTAATCGGTCAACAAACCGGAGCACTCGCCGCTCACCACCCGGGCACCATCACCGGGCACCATCGCCGGTCTCCAGCACCGGTCTTCATTACCGGTCTCCAGCACCGGGCTCCATCACCGGGCTCCTCCAGCACCGGTCTCCAGCACCGGGCTCCACGACCAGTCACCAGCACCGGGCTCCATCACCGAGCTCCACCACCGGGCTCCATCACCGGTCTCCATCACCGGGCTCCATCGCCGGTTACCATCACCGGACTCCAGCACCGGTATCCAAACTGGACAAAATCGAATCGATCGTTGGTTCGTTGTCGTGTCTTGCCTCTTCGCCATTTTTAGCTTTCTTTATCTTCCCTGTCGAATTTTCCCTTATTTATACAATACCGTAACTAGACCGAGATAAGGCCGAAATAGCTTGTAATAGAATTTAAACAACCGAACACCAGTAGCGCCCAAAAGTCTCTCGTTTATTCCCAAAACTCTCCAAACAAATTTGTACGTACAATTATTTCCGCGTGGAATAATTTCACGCACTTCAATAATCATACCACTTCTGACACACATACATGACTTCATATACGATCAACCTTCACTACCTTGAGGTCTGTTTGCTGTTGGGCAGCTGTGAGGTCATGTGACGTCATCAAAGGTCACCAAAGGTTTTTGGCCAATAACTCCGTACAGGAACAAGATACAGACGCGTGGATGGTCTCATTGTGTTCAGCTCGTCAAGACGCATCGAATGATATACATGATGACCTCGAAGTCACGTGACCTGAGGTCAACCTTTGACCTTGACCTTGCGAGGTCAACATATATATCATTCGATGCGGATTGACGAGAGGATCACGATGATGCCCTTAGTTTGTTCCTATCTTGACTAAGTCGAAAGTTATTCGAGAAAAACTCTCTCCATATCTAGCGTAAAAAATTGTAAAAATTATAAAAATTTGTAAAAATTGTAGATCTTGACCGTGCGTATCCGATGCCGTTTACCGTTTGTCGCTATCTTGCTTCGTTCTCGAGATCTCAGGGGGGGCCGAATCGGCCCCCCCCCCCCCCGCCAGTTTCTTGTCCCGGCGGAGCCCGCCAGGAATAGGGTTAAGCTGACCCGAGCTGTGGCCGACATCTGACGGCTTCCCCCGACCGCTGCTGGCTGAAGCCCCAGGCTCTCTCAGAAATGGTCGACAGAGTTAGTCACTGGTCAGAGCCACGACTGTCTCCAGTCGGGCCGCTGTCGACCTTTCTGCTGGCTGGGGCCCCCTCAGAAATGGTCGGCGTAGTTGGCCCGAGCCGCGGCTGGCTCCAGACGGCCCGGCGCCGGCCTGTCGACACAGTGACCTTAGCAGCCAGGCTGCCACTCGGCAATGCCATTAGCTCTGACACGGCGCCAGCTGTGTTGCCGGAGAGTCGTTGCGAATTGCGCTTGGGTCATTACATTTAAAAGCGATGATAATTAAGACGATCAGCTATAAAAGGCTTTCAGTGAAAGTGAATTTTTAACACAGAATGTCATGCAGCTCCAGCAGAATTTCGCCCATTATTTTTTATTTGCATTTTTAGCTGCTCTTGCTTAGCCATTTAAAAGACCACTTAGTTTGAAATTGAACGTTAATGTGAGCAATGCTTTAGTGTAAAACTAGTGCGATTCCAATGCATTGCGATTTGCTTACGTCTCTATCGTGCCGAGTGCAGAGCAGTCTGTCGCCTGTCGCCTGCCGCTGCTCGGCGGCACCGACCCGACCTATGATACCTGATCCGCTCCCCTCCCTGGGGGTGAGCATCGTATGGCCTCTGCGCCCGGGCGGGGGCTGGGGAGGAGGAGCGGGTGCGGGCACGCGACACACGGTCTGTGGTCGGTGTCGCCCGCTGGCACGCGCCGGCTGACCTTGTAGTGGGGGCACACGTCCTCGTTCCAGGTGCCACCCTGACAGGAGCAGTTTGCGGTCACACAGTTCATGAATGTTTCACCAATCTAAATGGACACTGGAGGCCGGTATCCGCCCAGCTGCGCCCCTGGTAACCCTCCGATATCCGGGTCGCTGCCAGGAGCGTGCAGACACGCAGCTACTGGACACATCTGCATCTGATAAATGTCTCTCAGTACAGCCGGCCGCATAATGCCTGCCTGTGTAGCTCCGGGAGGGGGCAGCGGGGACGGCGCTTCCGGGGAGCCGGGCCAGCGGTGGCGCGAGCTGACATTTGTCATCACTGTCGACGCCCAGCGCCGCTGATGCTATCGGGTCGCTCGGAGGCGCGCTGAGCCGCTGACGCCCCGTTGCGACACCGGGGGCCATCTGGAGGCCGGTGGGTGGGTGGAGGGTCCGGCCGGCCGCAGGCGGGCTGCCGATAGACTCCACCCGCGGGCGGGCGGTGACCCGGCGAGCAGGTCAGATCACCAGCTGGTGACGCTCCAGACTGGGACGGGAGGGGCGCGTGCCAGCCCGGATTGGGGCCACGTGCGGCGGGAGCCTGTCCCAATCCAGCGGCCGACATTCGTCATACAGCGCGGCGGAGAGGATGAGGTCTTACCGCCACGGTAGGACCAGCTGCGCTGTCAGTCACCAGTGACGCAAGTGCCATCGAGTCCAGGTTTTCATTCATTAGCATTGAAGCTCCTCGCTGGAATAATGCACAGTCATCTTTGTTGTGAACGTAGTACGTAGTGATTATTAATCACAGCTATGGTTGTAAATAAATATTCCAACCAGCCGTCCTAAATGGGAGCAACATTTTCCATGCTTATTTGCGTACGACTTTTCATGTAAAACAGTCAACATGACGTAAATGCAGGATGCAAAATGCAAAGCACTCTTATGTTGGCATGATTATTTCAGGGTAGAAAGGGTTCTGAAATGCTAATTTATGCGGAGGTTGTCCGCTAATCTCTCTGGGAAATTATGTAGAGTGGCAGTGAGAGGACTGACGAGCTCAGCACTCAGCAGAGAGGCGACATTAGCAATATTGTAAGTCTGAGCTGCAGAGGCGGGACCCAGAGCTCACCATGTTCGCGCCGCTCCTCTCATTGTCCTCGGCACGCTGCGAGGACCTGGCGCCGTTCCTCGTCCTCCCACCGCCTGTCCTCCCACAGAGGAAGGGGCACTGTCCTCGGCTGGGCTAGGGGCACGTGGCTGGGTCTGCGCCGCATACCAGAGTGAACCCTTGAGTAGGTGTTCGAGAGATTGTTCGTAATCCCGGAGCGAGTTTTATCACGCTTAAAATTTTATCCGAGCAGAGCAAAGTGTGGGCGAGGGAGCTGTTCAGATTGTGTATGAACGCGCGTTTATCGTGGCATCGTCACAGCTTACATATTATCCTAATGGCTTTCTGTTATTGGTTAAGCTGGATTATAGGGTGGTGCCCCTGTCGCCTATCGTGTAAGAGCCCATCGCCGCAGTGTTTGCCGATTCCAACCAATTATTGGTGAATAAACTCGCCCTCTTCTCACTGAGATGCTTCTGAACCCTCAGAGCCTGTTAAATGTAGTCTCTCTACTAGCCACTCTGGATGATTGACACACACTAATATGTGTCATAAAACCGCTATCGTGGGTGTAAAGCTCCTCGGCTGATTGACAAGGCACCGTTTTGTGAGACCTCAGTGTCTACTGACTGATTTTGGAGGCGATATAATAACTTAATTCTGGTACGTCTCGAGTCTGAGAGATAAATAAAGCAATCACACATTAGGGATTTATGAAGAGATTCCATTTCAAAAGACAAGGACATGATTATATGATGATTGATATGAGTTTTAATAGCTTAATCCCTACTGGTACTTACACCGTATTAGCTAAATATGCTCACATAAGCCTCTTGATATATTACCGGAATCTGACGACTTCCGGACGGGAATTCAGTTAAGAGAAGCATTATCATTGACCGCGATCTGTCTGCTACCTGTGAGACCTGTCTGCGCCCCTCCAATGACTTGTGTTTGACCCTCCAACGTTCTGACCTCCCCCTCTCTCTCCGGCAGGATCCGGCCGCTGATCTCGCGCGAGAAGATCGACATGTGCCGGGTGTGTACCTCGGTCACCCCCGGCGAGCCGCAGGTGTGGCTGGGCTCCGACAAAGCCTTCACCTACGACTATATGTTCGACATGGACTCGGAACAGGAGCACATCTACAGCCAGTGCACGCAGCAGCTCATCGAGGGATGTCTGGACGGCTACAACGCCACCATCCTGGCCTATGGACAGGTGAGTAGCGGAGTGTTGAGTATTGTGAGTGTTGAGGACCTGAGGACTACGCCCTAGTGATTGAGATGTTATTGGCACGCGTCCGCGCCAGGTGCGGTGGGTAGTTTACTCGTGATATTAACGCTGACGTTTAGATGTTTGTGCTGTGCGCGAGACGAATAGCAATCACCTGTTATTTCCGATTCGGCTAGATCGATGTGAAGGGAGTCACGTTCTTCCATCAAGACCTGGTGAATGGGTGCGCGTGGCAGATGTCAAATTAGTATTCCTCTGCAATGCTAGTTTAATGTCAAACAGGCAAGTTTCTTCTCAGTTTTGGATGGTTTTATAAGCTCCTGCTACATTTTTTCATATTCCGAGATACACTGCAGCTGAATTCCAAACCATCTATATTCTTCGTAGGTTCTCATGTCAGACGACTCTTGTATAGTCGACTACAGAATGATGTTCCACTTTTCACAGGCAATTATTTGCCTGGAGTGGTAGGCTGTGCCGCATCACACGGGCTGAGTTCACAAAGTATAGCTTTGTCCCAATGCTCACAATCGACACGCTTAATTGCGTAATAAACGGCACAACTTTTGTTTGTCTTTTACTTCTTCTCGAACTTTTATCCCACATTTTTGTTTTGCCCTTTTCTTTTGTTAAGCTTTGCTTTTTCTCCCTATAAACACCATACAGTACGTACAGTACTAACTGTATGTCTTTGAATCATCGCCATCGCTCAATGACCTAGCTTTCTTGCTATTTACATTACTTGCTATTTGTATACCGGTCGTCTCGTCTTGGTTTGTGTACTTACAAGTCACACTTAAGTTCTCCTGGATACGTAGCAATACGTAAATCAGCCCTACGATACTTCCCACCGACCTGGGTTTACCGAGCAACAAGCTTGCTTAGCTCGGTATCCCTTTTCGGTGAGGATCTGACTCCTCCGGGTGTGACTAGGCTCTGTCCCTCTTCTATAATGCAAGCTTTGCATGCGCTTATTACCACTAACCCCTGGATCACTCTCTCCTTCTCACTATCTTCTTTGGGAATGGTGTAGCGGCCAGTCAAGCTACATTTAGTCTTGACTTCTTTGCCTCTTCTTTTGACATTTTACTAACTATCTAAGTATTGTATTTAGCTTTGTTTTTGTTTGCTTTCCTTTTTCTTAGCAGGGAGTGTCGCGACTTTCTTCATATTTTTGTCTTGGGAGGTGTTAACGTAAGATGCTGTTGTCGCGTGGGTCAGTGGGTGGACACTCCTGGTCGTCTGATCATGGGCGGCGGCTTAGAAAAAAAAATAACTTAGCGCTCCGGTCAACTGATAGCTTCTGAGGAGTGAACATCATTCTGTAGTCGACTATACAAACCCGAAACATTGTTCCACCTTATTTGATAGATTTTTCCCTGGGCAGTCATCTCCTACGCCATCCCCATAAAGCGACGCTCGAATGCGCCTTTGGTTTCCATGTTCTTCCAACCGCTGTATGAAGTCAGTCGCGCTGAACAGTCAGCTGAGCCTCGTTCAATAAATGTCGCAGCCTGGTGTCACAGCCGCCTTTACCTGTGACGATGGCAGCCAGTGGCCCTTGTTAAATTCAGTACCTAGTTAGTGCCGCTTCAACAATGGCCCATGTGCTCTCAAAGGTGGAGCATTGTGGAGTGGTTATTCTTGTCGGCGACACAAATTGCCGAAACTATTTTATCCGGCAGCTCGTTACCGGCTGCGGTCCGCCCCTAGCTACTGCATACTGCAATGGTCTGGCCCAGTGGGATTCTCGTATGTTCGAATATACCACTGCCCATTGCTAAATACCCATATATCACCGCGCCGGTAGGAGTGTAATTACCCGGTGATTCGGCCGAGCAGTACATCGTGTCTCATTCATTAGGCCACGTTTGTTAGTGACATCGCGTCGCATCCATCGAGCTTACCGGGAACTCGGTGACATTTCTCCCCGTCCCCACGGATGGTTTATCAGACAGCGAGAGAACACATCACTGCATTTGCATTCTGCTGTAGATGCTTCCATCAGAAAACAGACGCCGTGAAGGCTTGTTTCCATCTCTCCCCGCTTCTCACCGCGGGTTGTTTATCCAGTGGTCTGGTCGGGTAGTCTCACCTGGAGGCTGAGCCGGAGTACGGACCCGCCCTGCGGTCTGATGTGAGACGACGCCGTGTGGGCGGTCAACGTCGGCCTCCAGGCTGGAAAACAACACACTCAGCGAGCCATCCAGGGGACGTCAGTGGAGGGACGAATACCGAGGTCGAGAGAACCGTTATTACCGGCGGTTTTTGTCGCGAGTCGCAAGGCCGAAAGGTGTGGAAGGGTAAAAAGAGAAGACACATTACCGAAGTGTCGGGTAGACAATAGAAGGTGCGAATATGACGTTAGATCCCTTGGTGAGGTTTCTTGCTCTCACGGCACAGCTTCGCCCTCCTGTTAATTGTTATGTAGAGTTTCTATCTTGACGGCCAGGCAGCCGAACGAATTTGGCCGTGACTGAATTACATCAGACAGGTTGTTGGGGCTGGCCAAGTGGAGCTCTGCTCTGAATTGCATATTTCGTGCCCGCAACACCGATCTACGAGAGCCAGCCCTTTATGCTGAGAGCTAGCCTGCAAGCATTCATATTCATGTCTGCCGTGCTCACTGCTCAGCCTCTGCATTTTCGGTTGTCTGTAAATCTCCCAGACGACCTATCTGACGTCTCTGAGGCCCTCTTCAACTACTGCTACCGCAGCGTGTCTGCTGCCGGTTAATTCTGGGATGTGGAACGGTATCTATCTCTGCCCCTTCTCGCGGTGGCGGCTACATCAAAGCCGGTCACGCCGGATTGATGTTTTGTGTCGGCTGCTCTGTTTCATGTCTGCCGCATCACGCCGCGAACTCGACAAAAGAACGACGGTAGCAATTCGGTGAAGTGGCCCACTGTTGGCCGGTGTCGGCGAGAGATCAATTTTGTCTGCAATGCGGTCGCAGATCCACTTTGTGTTTAGCGGGTTTCTGTTTTGGTTACTGCTCTTTGATCTCTGTCGTGGAATACCGTGTCGTTGCAGTGACTACATAGTGTTGTTTTGTCTAACTAGCCTCACTGTGTTGTTCTCTGTTGCACTGGGCCATACCCTAACAGTTCCTACTGACCCAGCAGTCAGCTGTGTGCGACGACTGTACTGTCTGGACCCTGGAGCGTCGTCCCTCCACGGGACCGAGGCCGGGCCTGGTTCCATTGTGCGCCGGGGACCCCGCCCCGGGCTGCCGGACGCCGCCGCTGTACCTATTTGGTCTGCCCTCCCGTCCATCCGGCATGGCGTGGGGAGGCCGGGACGCAGCTATCGGCGCTAGGCCTGGGAGCGGACAGGACCGGCCCATTGTTAGGCCCAAAACCGTTACTGGGGTACAGCTGGGATCTGTTCGTATAGTTTTCGAAGGGAAGGAAAGGGAGGCGAGCGAGCAGGCGAGCAGCTATATTTGCAGAGAGCCCTGTTGTTTGTTGCTTGTGACTGCGTGTGCTTGGTGCGTGCGATGAATGTGAGTTTGAGACATTACCAGTTACGATGTTTATTCACCCCGTTAACACAAGAACTTCTAGGGCTTATGATTGTTTTTCAAGTATGAAATTCGCATTTTTATTTCATTATGACTAGGCTCATTATGATAATGATTAGGCTAGATGCACTGCGCATTAAGACAACACTTTTGTACCCCAACAATCAACATCCCCTTATTGTTTTGAACGAGTGCTGAACAATACAGGGGCGCCATTGTAGTACGCATTTGGTACGGGAAGCGTCCCACATCCAACTGCGAGTGTGACCGGTGACCGTTGTGACTCCTGTGACCCCTGGGGCGTGTGACTTCTGTGAGCTCCACAGTGTGAGACCGCTGTGACCTCGTCTGGCGTGTGGCGGTTTATTACCGGGGCCATAGCCTGACCACGCTATATCTCAGGTCGGACTGTAATGAGTTGCTACCGTTGACAGACGGATGTGTAGCAGTACCCTCATGCTATCAGTCACTGCCACTCCGAAGCCGTCTGTGCGTTTGGGGTTATGTTTGTAGTGGCTATAGGCCGGACGTGCCGCACGCATGTGTGGCTCGGCTAGGCATTACGTCAAGTGTTCTTGTATACAGCGGTCTGGATATGCGTCGAGTCTGTATGTTTTTCTTGTGGGTGCTCGCTCAGCCAGAGGTCGGCAGAACCGAGAAAACTTGCTGACTATACAAGATCGGTGAACTTTACTCCGACAAGTGCGGGGCTGTTTTTCTCTACGGTCAACTTCAACCAGCTCAGTGACTTTGGTCCGAATTCCAGTCTCACCCCTGACGTTTGAGATCCCACGATAGGCTCTCTCTGGAGTCCGGAGACCCCATGCGTGCGTCTCTCTCCTTTTACGTCTCACAGACGTCACCAGTTCTGTTTCTGTCGTCCGGTCCCGACCCGTCAGCCTAGTCCAGCTTTCCTCACTGACGCTCCGACGCTGACTTCTGACTTGGTATGCGAGCGTTCCACGCTACCACCCTTGGGCGCCGGAACCTGTCTCCCTCTCCACACGGTCTCCTGAGAGCACTCCACGCCTAGTCCGCCGTACGGTGGCGCTCCCGTGGTGACAGCCCGACCGGGGCTTATGATGGGTGGGAGTCGGGACTGGGGACCGGCCGGGGCTTTCAGGGTTGGAATGGGAAGGGGGGGGATGGGTGGCGAGTGGTGTGAGAGAACTTAGGGGCCACGATTGCAGTCAGCAGGTGCGCTGATCGTTGGCGAGACGGTATGAAGCGATCTTGTGTATGACTAGGAGTAGTAAAATGAATCTACCGAGCGGCAACATGGGAATGCCCTTCCTAAAAGACGAGAAGTAACCTCCTCTTCTCTCCCAGACGGGCTCTGGTAAAACATACACCATGGGTACCGGTTTCGAGATGGACGCCGGACCGGAGTCGGCCGGTATCATCCCCCGAGCGGTGGACCACCTCTTCAGGGGCATCCAGGAGAGACAGGAGGCGGCGCGGAGGGCCGGTCAACCGGCGGCCGACTTCAAGATCAGCGCCCAGTTCATGGAGCTGTACAACGAGGAGGTGATCGACCTGCTGGACCAGTCCGGTGTGAACAGGGTGAGTGTGAGGGCGGTGGAGGGATGCGGAGGGGCGCGGAGGCCATTAGGGAGGTCAGGGAGCACCGGAGGGCAATGGCAGGGGAGGATGAGGAGTTCACCCGAGGTCAGCGGACCTGCGCTTGTACCTAGAACGCTTCCGGCAGCCAGAAATATATTCTGCAGGTTTTAAGTCGATTATTTTTGCACATGCCCACAAAGTGTTGATTGGTATGGTGAATGTCGTGCTTTTTTCATTAACTGTGTTCTTTGACTAGCTATCTATAGATCAATAATTTACTAAGTGCGAGCTAATCTGGCACGCGTTACATATACCCCCAGGGCCGAAAGTCTGCGATCCGTATCCACGAGGACGCCGGCGGCGGGATCTACACGATGGGCGTTACCTGTCGCGCCGTCACCTCGGCAGAGGACTGTCTCAAGTGTCTGCGCGTGGGCGCGCTCAGTCGCACCACGGCCAGCACTCAGATGAACGTCCAGAGCAGTCGCAGCCACGCCATATTCACGCTCATTATCAAACAGATGCGCGTGGCACGAGCAGACAGCGTGAGTATACTGAGAACCTAGCGGGCGAACGGGGAAGGGGGGGGGGACGTACGGAATGAAAGGGCTAGGGTGGGAGCTCAAAACGTGGCCGGCAGTCAGAACAGTTTTCAGTTTTGGCAGGCGCTGAAACCACTGACAAGCTGACCTGTGGTATGGGGCTTTCCAAATAACAGCAACCGAGCCACACCATTTCTGCCACAATTCTGTTTGAGTTCTTTTTCGGCTAAGCCCAAGTCTCAGCAATGTAATCGACAAGAGCAAAGGATAGGATCGGGCGGAATCCCACATTTAAAGCTTTCATCAGTCGCAGCCTAAAAACGAACGGATGAGGTATGTAGTAAACCAAAGCTACGATTGGTCAGCTTACTTTATACCTAATGGCATTATTTGTGCATAATTTAGGTCTTAACTTGTACATAACTATAACTTAGATTCTGGTGGAAATAGGTATGCATTTTTGTAAATTTAGTGACATCGCTATTTTTTTAGTGCTAACTCATTTTATTTAGTGGCGCGCGTTGTTTTGCCGTTTTTCAAGGTCAAGAGACGCATTGGCGCCATATTTGTTATTATTTCTCGTTGATTGACGGAAGATCAACGCAAGATTGGCGGAGATGAGATCAGAATGAGCTTGTTGCTCTCCGTAACGTGGTATTTGAAGTGGTGTGTACACATTGAGTGGAGCATATAGGTCATTGAAATTTGATCTTTGTCACTTCGAGTCGGTATCAGAATCGCCTAAAATATGGGGACGACGCTATCTAGCCTTGGCCTCTCATCTCGCGCGCAAATCAACACGCTCAACATACCAGACTGTCGCGTGCACACGTACGCGATCACGGTAAGCATTTTCACGAATTGATATCATGGTGTGTCTGTGTGCGCTAATTCGCCTCAATGACTTTGTTTTGCTTTAGCGTCCACTTCACAAAGACTTCATTCATCTCATTCATCTTAACTGGACTCCAAACACTTGAGCTTCGCAACAGAATGCCATCGCACATTTCTCGCAAGATATCTCGTCGACCATTGCTAGTTTTAATGATACCTATTTTATATTTTAATGATCAACGATGAAACACGATTGATTTATCCATCGTTATTCCACATTAAAATGCATAGTCGGAATATTGTTGCACCGGCATGTGATGCACGCGACTGGTGTCAAGGCCTAAGGATTGTTCGGCTTGACCCGAGTGTAGAGCCGATCTCATTTTTATCTGACTACCTTAGCGACATAACATTCAACATTTTTACACAATCTGAAATCTGACGTTACTTGTCTTCATGGGGTTTCTCCGGTGAGACGAGTTTGGTGGCGCTGTCAGTACCCGACCCAACCCGATCTGATCTGACCTGACCTGACCTGACCTGACCTCAAACCCCAGGGTTTTGCCGGTGAGACGGAGTCGGCCGATGGGATCAGCAGCAGCGAGGGAGGTGAGCAGGAGCAGCCGGCAGAGTTCGAGACGCTCTCGGCTAAGTTCCACTTTGTTGACCTGGCCGGCTCGGAGCGGCTGAAGAGGACCGGAGCGACTGGAGACAGAGCCAAGGAGGGCATCTCCATCAACTGCGGACTGGTGAGCTGATGGGGATAGCGTAAGAACCAGGTCGGAAGATGACCGAGCTATGCGCTCGCACTTCGCAGTATGTGAAATTCTCGGAAGTCCGAACTTGGTCATCCGATTGTTAAAGCGTGAAAAGCCGTTTACAGCATCCTGGTATCTTGTGTGTTTCATTTTGATTGCCACTAACTTAATTTGAGGATTAATTTTTGTTTTAACAGTTAAATAGTTGGCCCAGTGTACTGTGGCCAACTTCGTTCCTGTGCATTCCTCGACTCGCCAGGGACTTATCACCCCCGTCCCTCCCCTGCCCTCAGCTGGCGCTGGGTAACGTCATCTCTGCACTTGGCGATGAGACCCGCAAGATCTCTCACGTGCCGTACCGGGACTCCAAGTTGACTCGGCTGCTGCAGGACTCACTCGGAGGTAACAGTCGGTACTGAGAGTCATCAGAGTCATGAGTCCTTGGTGGAGAAGCTGGGAGTCCGTCCAAGTCCATCGGAGTCGGTGTATGGTCGCTGTCGGACCGCGAGGATCGGTGTAGTTGCAGGCCCGGTAGCTCAGTGCCTAGCGAATTAATTAGTTATCCCTCTGTCTCCGACTGGGAATAATCACCCTCGCTGACCCAATGCTCTAATCCCCTTCACTCTGGCGTTCATAACACCCATTTCAGATGCTAGAACTCGTCCTTCCATCGCTCCCGGCTGTGTGGCTACAGTCGCCTCTGCTTACTGACACACCCTACCCCGTCGCCTGCTCCTCCTCCAGGTAACAGTCGGACGGTAATGATAGCCTGCGTGTCGCCCTCGGACGCCGATTTCATGGAGACGCTCAACACGCTGAAGTACGCCAACCGGGCGCGCAACATCAAGAACCGGGTGACCATCAACCAGGACAAGACGTCGCGCACCATCTCACTGCTGCGGCAGGAGATCCAGCAGCTGCAGCTCGAGCTCATGGAGTACAGACAGGTTAGAACTTTATGTACCTACCTAGTACACTGTTTTGCACCGTACTTCGGCCTGCATTCAGCACAAACAGCTTAGTAATCGATGGAGTACACCGTACTCCACTGTACTTTGGCCTGCACTCAATACAGCTGAAGGTGAAGAATTGATGGTGTAAAGGTCAAACTGAATAAAGTAAAGACAGTTAAGAGCGTCAGACTGCCATGACTTTCACTGAGTTTAATGTTGGCATGTTTGCTGATGGCTGCCATTTGATGAGCCTATAAACCAGGGTTTCGGAGTCGTCACTGGTAGCGCTGTCTCGACTCCGACTTCGACTCCGACTCCGGGTTCCGACTCCGAAACCCTGCTATAAACTGTGAATTGATATTTTAGAGCAACCAGCGAAATATGTAATTAATGAGACGCCATGTCCACTCTGTCGTCAAACTGTGTGTGTGTTTTTTACATGTTTGTGTTATATGCTCGATCTCCTGACCTGACATGAAGTCTCTATGCCCCCCTCCCCCACCTTTCCTCCGCAGGGAAAGCGGGTGGTGACCGAGGACGGCACGGAGGCCATCAACGACATGTACCACGAGAACAACATGCTGCAGACCGAGAACGCTAACCTGCGGACGCGCATCAAGGCCATCCAGGAGACGATCACGGCTCTGACGGCGCGCAACACCCAGCTGCTGGCAGAGAAGGCCGCCGGAGAGTGGATCGGCGCCGGTAAGTGGAAAATGGAACAAGGAATGGAACGTGGAACGTGGAATCGGTGGAATTTAGGGCCGGGTGATGTAGCTTGTAAGACACAAATATGTTGGGGTGCGATGCTCAATTGCCACACAATATGTTTTGGTAACCAAATGCAAAGTGAAGACGCACAATTTTAGTATGTTTAGAGTGGTATGTTTGTAGTGTATGTCTCTCAACTACGGAATTTAGCCGTTTGGTGATTTTAAGTCTGTTTCGTATCAGCCAAGTTTCATCCGATCCCATTCGTGGTCAATTCGATCAATGTTCGAATTTCTTCACGAGTCCGCTCGTTGATAAGGTCAAGCTGTAACGTTGGGGCTTAATCTGCAGTTCATCTGATGACGTAACTCTATTTTCTCATCTTGATTTTCAGAGACGTCATCCGAACGTCCCTGTGTGGTGACACGACCCAGCCCGACCTGATCTGACTTTCTGTAACCGTTGTCCGTCCCACAGACCCCAGCGGGGATGTCAGCGAGCTGGTATCGCGGTACCTGCAGGAGATCGAGGAGCTCCGCGCCCGACTGATGGAGTCAGAGAGCACATGCGAGCAGCTCAGGAAGCGCGGTGTCAACCGGAACCTGTCGCGCCTCAGCACCAGCCCCCGCCACCCGGGCACAGGTGAGATGCGGTGTGCCGATGGAGAATGGTTTTGCCGCTGAAAGATAGCGTTTAGCCATGGGCCGGGACGAGTAGTGGTGTAGGCAGGAGGATAGAGCGGGATACATTGGACTTCGTGCTGCTCTTGAAGTTACTGATTACAATTAATGAATTGTAATCATTAATTGATTACAATTCAATTAATGGACCAGATGAAAAATGGACCAGATAAAAATGAGACCAGATGCTGAATGCGGTACGAACTCGTTGCCCAGAGGTATACCCGCTTGCCTATCAAGCCTACAGCGCTCCATCGCCGCTCCACTTCGGAGATCACGTCATCATGTCCAGCTGTGGAGTCCAACAGGGTGATCCACTGGGTCCAGCCTTCTTCGCTCTGGTGGTGGATGGCTGCGCGCGATCCCTGAAGTCTCCATTGAACCTTTGGTACTTGGATGATGCCACAATTGCAGGACCAGTGGCAACAGTGGAGGAAGACCTTAGAACTCTATGTACCGAACTTCCAAAGCTCGGCCTAGAACTAAACAAATCAAAGTGCGAGCTAACCACCATCGGTGGCACTCCAGCCGAAGGCCAGAGCGTCATCAGCACCATCTCGTCAGTCCTCGCCGGCATCAAAACCACCCCTCCTGAACAGCTCACACTGCTCGGCTCACCGCTACACGAGGCTGGGCTTGGCGACTCTGTCAGAGCAGCCCACACGACTATCAAACTGCTGTGCAGTCGACTCCGCCTCCTCGATCGACACACAGCTCTGTTCTTCTTATCGAAGTACGTAGCTGCCCCGCGAGTGCAATATCTCCTACGTTCATCGCCAGCCTATCGGGAGCCTGCAGAGCTATCCCGAATCGACAGCACAGTTCGTCTCACGCTCCAGGAAGTTGGTAACGTGGCACTGACAGACGAGGCCTGGGAGCAGGCTGCACTGCCCCAGAGGCATGGCGGGCTCGGCGTGCGCTCCGTGCACGCTCTCGCTCTGCCCTGCTACTTGTCGTCTCTCACCGCTGCAGCACCGCTGGTCTTATCTATCTGCCCTTCAACCTTCACGGGCCCTGAGCCAGCGGCACTGCAACCAGCCACGGAGCAGTTCATGGCTGCAACTGGCATCGAGACTGTTCCAGAACGCCCGGCAGCCAGCCTCCAAAAGACCTGGGACGACATCGCGTCAACTGTCACCGCTAACCGCCTGATCGCCGGAGCCAATCAGATACATCGCGCTCGTCTCGGTGCTGCTTGTATGCCGCATACTGCAGCCTGGCTGCAAGCACCTCCAATCCCCAGCCTGGGACTGTACATTGATGACGAGACCATTCGTATAGCGGTAGCCCTCCGACTAGGCCTGCCCATCTGTGAGCCCCACCAATGCAAGCTATGTGGATGCCCTGTGGACAGGCTGGGACACCACGGCCTATCATGCAAGAAGAGCGCCGGTCGCTTCCCACGGCACGCAGCCCTAAATGACGTCATTAAACGAGCACTGGCAAGCGCTGGCGTACCATCGGTCTTAGAACCTGTGGGGCTAGACAGAGGAGATGGAAGGCGCCCCGACGGACTGACAACGTTCCCCTTCAGTGCCGGTCGAAGCCTCACATGGGACGCCACATGCGTTGACACGTTTGCTGAGTCACACGTGGTGAAGTGTGCAGTGGATCCCGGCGCAGCTGCAGCCGCCGCCGAGAACCTGAAGCGCATGCGCTACGCCAGTCTTGCAGACCGCTACATCTTCACTCCAGTAGCAGTGGAGACTACCGGCGTAGTCGGAGAAGCAGGGTCAAAGCTGCTCCGGGATATCGGCGGTCGGATTTCGGCGGCGACTAAGGACCCCAGAGAAGTGTCCTGGCTTCTACAAAGAGTCTCGATAGCAATAATCCGGGGAAACTCCGCCGCTATCCTCGCCACAGCCCCTCCTGAAGCTGGTCCCCATCACGTTGGGTGTGTCGCAGGACGCGCGTCTGGCCCGGCAGAAGAGTCTGTTGTGTATTAGGATGATGTCTCTTGTGACGTCAGTTACTCTGCCTGGATTTAGAGAGTGTGCCTCATATGGAGAACCTTGGAAGTTGTTGTTCTTGGCCTTGTGTAGTATGGAAGAAACGTTCTGAGTAAAAAGGAGTCTTTGGAGTCAGCCAAAAGCATGAAGTACAATCGGAAGTAGCAGAATAAGGAAAGTACTGACCACTCGATACACAACAAAATGGCGACGAAGGTAAAATACGCGATTTAAAGTCCCGAAGACGCATCTGTAAGGCGCAGCACGTGTCGCGCCAAAGTTTGTCGCATTTCAAGGTTAAGGGCATATCTCGAGTTGGAAGTGCGCCAGTATTTGTCGATTTGGATATTTTCTGAATTATGGCTGTTAGTCTGCCTCCACCACCAAGTATCAAGGAAGGTGAAAACTTCATGACATGGATCAAATCAGTGGAAATTTACATGGGTGCAATTGATGTGAAAACTGCTTCTCAGAAAGTCAATATTGTTCTGCACCTTCTCGGACCTGATGTTCAAGGTATTATCGATACTTTGCCAGAGGGGGAAGGGACAAATGCATATGAAAAGTTGAAAGATCAGCTGGAGAAGCACTTCAAGCCAAAAGTAAACGCAGTAGTTGAGCGACATCACTTCAACACAATGGTGTACGAAGGCGGAAGAGTGGAAGGATACGTAGCAAAGCTGAAAACTCAAGCTCGGAAGTGTGACTTTGATGTCAATGAAGTGGATAACCTGGTGAGAGATAAGCTGGTTGCAACATGTCCCTCATCCAGAGTAAAGGAGAGCATGCTTAAGGAAGAAAAGCTGACTCTAACCAAAGCCATCTCTATATGGTCGACAGATGCCACTGTTCGAGAGCAAGCTCGGAAGATGGAAGTGTCAGAGGAAGGAGCATCAAGGAAAGATGAAAAGGTGAACAAGGTCAACTGGAAGCAGGCAGAAAGAAAGCCAAAGAAGGATGAAGCTGTGAGAGGGCAGCAAAACCAGATGAAAAATGCAAGAGGTAAGATGATGCAAAGCAGTCAAAGGGAAGATGAAAGGAAATGCTTCAGATGTGGCAAAGGTAACCATCTGATAAAAGACTGCAGAGTGCCGAAACATGTCAGATGTAACAACTGTTCAAAGCCGGGTCATCTCCAAGCTGCGTGCAGGAACCCGAGTGCTGAAGAGAGAGTGAGGGTGAACTGTAATGAAGGTGACAAAGTAGAAGATGACGAGGAAGACAACTATTGTGTGTATCAAGCAAGCAGGGAGAAGTCAAAGGCGATCAAGGTGAGCATGTCCGTAAATGGCAAGGATGTGGAATTCCTGGTTGACACAGGATGCCCAGTGACGTTGATGCCAGACAGTGTGCTTCCTGGACTGAGTCTGCGGAAAGCTGGATGTCGTCTGACCTCATATACAGGGCACAAGATCCCTGTGCTGGGTGTCACAGATGCAGAAGTAGTGTACCAAGGAAACCAGAAGGAACTGGAAGTGCATGTGGTGGAAGGAGATGGACCTCCACTACTGGGACGTAACTGGCTGAAAGAAATCAGACTGGACTGGGAACAGCTGGTGGGAAGTATGCAATCTCAGAAGACAATGCGTTGGAAGCTGGAAGATGTTCTGCAGAGGAATGAAGAGCTGTTTGATGGTACGCTGGGTCAGATGAAGAACACTGAAGCTCATCTAGAGCTGAAAGAGGATGCCAAACCAGTGTTCCAGCCACCACGACCTGTGCCATATGGTCTCGCGGACAAAGTGAAGCAAGAGTTGTCAAAATGGGTGGAACTTGGAGTGACAAAAGAACTGACGTCAGAGGATGCAACGCCGAAGTGGGCCACGCCTCTCGTAGTCGTGCCAAAGCCGGACGGATCAGTAAGGCTCTGTGGAGATTTCAAGGTAACGCTGAACCCAAACCTGGAAGTGCCGAAGCACCCGCTGCCGAAGATGGAGGACATTTTTGCAACAGTGGGACAGGTTCGATACATCTCAGTGATTGACCTCTCCCAAGCGTATCTGCAGATGCCCCTCAGCACAGAAAGCCAGGAGTACTGTGTTCTCAACACACCATGGGGGATGCACCGTATGCTGCGACTACCATACGGGGTGAAGTCAAGTCCAATGCTCTTCCAGAGGGAAATGGACAGAATCCTCAAGAATGTGCCTGGAGTGAAGTGTCTGTTGGATGATATGCTCATCACAGGAAGAACTGAAGAAGAAGCACTGAAGCGACTGGACGAAGTGATGCAGATCATGAAGTCACACGGTCTGCGTCTGAAAAAGGAGAAATGTCAGTTTCTGACAAAGGAAGTCCGGTACCTAGGGCTCAGGCTAGGAGCCGAGGGCATCAGAACAGATCCAGAACGTGTGAAAGCCGTGCTGAACGCAAGAGCACCCACCAACCAGAAAGAAGTTCGTGAGTTTCTCGGTGCTGTCACGTTCTACAACCGCTTCCTGAAGAACCTCTCGAAGACAGCAAGGCCGTTGAATGAACTCCTGAAGAAAGACAGCGAATGGAAGTGGACTGCAGAGTGTGAAGCCAGCTTCAACAGCATCAAGAGACAGCTGTCATCAACGGAAGTGCTGCGTCATTTCGACGTGACGGAGCAGGTGACGGTGATCACGGACGCTAGTCCAGAAGGACTAGGCGCCGTACTCGTTCAAGGGAAGGATGAGCGGCCGATCATGTACGTGTCAAGATCGCTGAGTGAACACGAGCGGAAATACTCTCAGATAGAAAGGGAAGGACTCTGTGTAGTCTGGGCATTTCAGCGACTGAAGCAGTTCCTGTACGGGCGCCATTTCAAGCTCGTAACGGACAACAAGCCGCTAGCTCATGTCTTTGGACCTAAGGCGCCGCTGCCGACGTTGGCTGCCTCACGGATCCAGAGATGGGCGATGAAGTTGGCGGAGTACGATTTCTCTGTGGAAGTCAGGAAGTCGGAACAAATTCCAGTAGCTGATTGGCTCTCACGTCTACCGAGAGAAGGCTCAGTGCTGAAGTCAGAAGCACCAGAAGACGAGTGCACTGTCTGTCTGATCGGACAACTGGAGTCGCTAAGTCCGGTGACGGCCGCAGCGATTCAACGAGAGACGGCCAGAAGCCCAATCCTGGCGAAGGTGATGCACTTCGTGCACAACGGCTGGTCAGAAGCCGTAAATGAAGAGCTACAACCATTCAAGATGAGGCAAACCGAACTGACCGTGGAGCGCGGATGTCTAATGTGGGGATGTCGCGTCGTGGTTCCGCCGAACCTGAGATCCAGAGTGCTGAGCGAGCTGCATGCCGGACATCAAGGAATGGTGAAGATGAAGCAGCTCGGAAGGATGCACGTCTGGTGGCCGAACATGGACAAGCAGATCGAGGCGGAAGTCCGGAACTGCGAAGGCTGCTGGCAAAAGCGAGCAGAGCCACCAAGCGGAGATCTCCACCCATGGGAGTATGCCAAGGGACCCTGGCAACGGATACATCTAGATTTCGCTGGTCCTGTGGAAGGTAGATTCTACGTGGTTGTCATCGACAGCTACTCGAAGTGGATGGAAATCGCTCCAATGAAGACCATCACAACAGAGAAGACGATTGAATACCTGCTGAACCTGTTCGCTAGGTGGGGACTGCCTCACCAACTGGTCACGGATAATGGTCCACAACTCGTCAGCAAGGACTTCGAAGGGTTCTTGGAGAGGAACGGAATCAAGCACAGTGTCACAGCGCCGTACAAGCCGTCCACTAACGGAGCTGCGGAAAGAGCAGTGGGTTGTCTGAAGAACCTGCTGAAGGCCTCAAAAGGCAAGAAGGTCAACATCCCGAACTTCCTGATGGCGTACCGCAGTACGCCACAAGCGTCAACAGGACGTACACCGGCGGAGTTGATGCTGGGCAGGCCGCTACGAAACCGCCTGGACCTCCTGAAGCCCAACCTCGCAAGTGAAGTTCGAGAGAAGCAACAGGAACAAGTAGAAAGATCACAGAAGGGAACCGACAGAACGCTCGAAGTAGGCGAATCAGTCCTGGTCCGCGACTACCGAGGTGCACAGAAATGGAGGGAGGGAGACGTCATCGAACGACAAGGCAGTAAACACTACCTAGTCCAAGTGCAAGACGAAGTGTGGCGTCGACACATCGATCAGATTGTCTGTCTGCCAGGTGTCCGACCTCCAGTGACTAATCTGCGGCAGGAGATCAATCCGTCTGAGCACTGCAATCTCCCAGCGCAAGACGCACCAGCGGTGCAGCGGGAACATGGACCGCCACTGCATAGCGCTGTGGAACAGTCGGTAACTTCAACCGGTAACCGCGGGCTCGTGCTGGAGGAAGATGGGATCGCTGCAACACAGTCACCTGAAGCAGCGTCAGCAGCGAAGGCGAACACTGAACAAGAGACTGTGGGTCCTAGGGCACGTCCAGCGGACGTCATCCGGAAGACCCCAGAACTGCGCACTCATCCCCAGCGTGAGCGTAAACCTGTAGTGCGCATGAACCTGTAAAGTGTTGTTTAGTGGGGAGGAGTGTTGTGTATTAGGATGATGTCTCTTGTGACGTCAGTTACTCTGCCTGGATTTAGAGAGTGTGCCTCATATGGAGAACCTTGGAAGTTGTTGTTCTTGGCCTTGTGTAGTATGGAAGAAACGTTCTGAGTAAAAAGGAGTCTTTGGAGTCAGCCAAAAGCATGAAGTACAATCGGAAGTAGCAGAATAAGGAAAGTACTGACCACTCGATACACAACAGAGTCGGACTCAGCCGTAGACGCAGAAGTAGCTCCACCAGCTTCTTCATCAAAATCCAGCGTATTTGGCCAGCTCATCGAGAATGGGAGAAAGCTAGCCCCAAGCGACTTCGAGGTTCCATGGGGCGAAATATTTGGTGCAAAACCAAAGCACTAACGGCATATGAGTGGTAGTGTCTAGTGTGTCATCGAAATGTACCCTGTGGTAATGTGAAATACAATTGCGGAAGACTTAAAAAAAAAAAAAAATTAATGAATAAAAAATGTCAAAATAACAAAGGCTTCCTTTATAACATGGTTCGTGATCTTGTGTGCTGTAAGGTGGGTGATATTCGTCGCAGCTACCGTGTTTTTATTTTAGTGGAGCGTATTTTCCAACGTTTTACGATGTCTTTTTAGTGCGTGTTACTTTCCTCAAGAATCGTTTCCTTACCCATTTTACCCCCGAACCTATCCTCATCCTTTCCCCCTGTCCCTTTCACAGTCGATCCCATGACCTCTGAAGTGGTCACCTCGGAGGTGGTGACCGCCGAGGGCATGGTACGGACCATGGTGCGCCGGTTCGAAGGACTCGCTCCTGCCATCCTGGACCGGACGTTCACGGTGCACGCCGTATCCTCCCCGCCCAGTCCTGCCTCCACCGCCGCCACTGCCGCCGCGGGACACGGTGGGGCCACCGGGGGAGAGTTGGATCACTGCGGAGGAGCGAGCGGCGGCTCCTGTCCTCCGTCCTCGTCTGATCCTCAGGGCGCGTCGAAGGAGGTTGTCGACATCGGTTAGTCTACCTCCGTGATCTCTGTCCTTCCGTTAATCTTTCCCGCTCTCTTATGAGCTTGCCTTTTCATTTTTTTTTTTTGCGATCCCTGAAGCATCTTGTTGCCAGTTATAACGACCGATGCCTTTGAGTTTTGCATCACAGTTGTAATGCGTACTCTAGATAATTATCCATTGCATTGTTTTCGGGCAGTGTCTTCACTACAAGGCATGACCGTTAACTGTTAAAGCGCTTTACATTGAGCCTTGCTCGTAACAACTATTCACTTTCTTTCCAACCTGAGTGATCCCGAGATTCATTTATCAGCATCTGCTCGGAGTAGCAGCTACAAAGTTTCTCATTATCAATTAGTAGGGGAGAGTGGGGTAAGATGCCCAGGGTGGGAAAGACGCCCCACCCCCTCTAGCGGGGAAACAAAGAATCGAACCTGGAAATGAATGTTCTTAACGTAAAGCGGAAGCCTGCCTTGTTAACTGCACAAAAATTTGCGAAGCTCAGTTGGGCAACGGCTGGCTGGTGATTGCATGTTTTTTATTTGCTGCTTTCAAAAAATATTTTGGCGTCAAAACATTGTAAATATCAAAGAAGGTAGATAATTTGTGCGTCCCTTGCTATAGTCGTAATACATTAACATGCGTGTACTGTGTCCCAAACAGTTTGTTTCAGGGTGTAGTTTTATGGCTAACAAATTGTGCTGATTTAATGTCACTTCGGTACCTTGGGGTAAGATGCCCCCTGTCCTGATGGGGAAAGACGCCCCCCTAAATCCGTAGGCTGTCCTTCAAGCAGCCCGTCAGATCATTTATTACATACTTGTGATGAGAGACAAAAGCCGATCTGGGACTATTGAGAGTCCGGTACGGTCGGGTGCTCCCCATGCCGGTCTCTCGGCCCACACAGCGACTTTTTGGGCGGCATCTAACTCTGAGAGCCCTCACGACGGCCTCTGTGGGCCCCATTATTGGTTCCAGGGCCCCTCACGACATCCTTTGAGGGCTCCCACGTTGGCTCCACGGGCCGCGCTGGCATCTGAGGTCCCCACGATGGGCTTGAGGGCCCTCAAGCATCATGAAGACCTATAAGGGCCCCACAGTGGTCTCCGAACGCCACCACGGAGGTTTGTTTGGCCATGCTGGACTATGATGGCCCTAACGATGACCTCTGAAGCCCCTTACGACTACTTTTGAGGGCCCTTACGATGACGTTTGGTGTCTACTGCAGGCTCGAAGGGACTACTGATTCGTTCAGGCGATTCACGTGCCTATTTTTGTCACTTATAGTGCTGGGGGCATCTTACCCAACGCCAGGGGGCGTCTTTTCCACCCTGTGGGGTAAGATGCCCCCTTTCACGTCTTCAAGAAAATGTTTAATAGCAAAAAAAGTTATCATGTTTCAGGCACGAAAGTGTGATATTTTTGGAGAAAAATGATGTCGGCTTCCGTTGAAACTCCAAGTTTTGGCTTTCCGATCGTCATTTTCGAATAATATATGACATAGTCAAACCCTGGGCATCTTTCCCCACTCTCCCCTACTTGTGAACGCGAAATATGAAATTATTCTGCAACTGCTGGCTACCGTACATCTTGCGACTGCTATCTGTGGTCGCTCTTGCGAAACACAAGTCAGAGCCACCGGATTACGTGTGTGATCTGGGCTGCAGCAGCTCAAATGTGCACGCTGTTCCAGTAATCCGCCACTTTCAGTTAGCGCTCGTAACCTGTTGGATGATCCGGTCAAACTGGATGTTGCTGTTTCTGTCATTTGTATTGGTTTAGACTTTAGATGTTATAGCTTCCATCGCGATCCCGACAAATGCGTCAAAATTGACCCATCAACGCGACTCCGATGACCTCTGCTGGCCCTCCCTGACCTTGACTTGTCCCGTTTAGCCTCGTCTTAGCACTGACCCTCATGTTAGCTACATATGCTGGCTGACCTATGGTGAACCTGTTGACCTGTGACCTCTACTGACCTCTACTGACTCCTAGTTACCCTGCTGACCCTGTCTGACCCCGTATCAACCCTCAGGCGACGTGCAGCTCTCCCTGGTGGAGGTCGACTCTGGCAGTGTCACTGAGCTTATCGAGGAAGCTCGCCGTGACCTGGAGCGGGCACGAACCAAGAGCGGTCTGAGACGGTCCTCCAGCGAGGGAGGTCGATCCTCAGCCGACAGAGAGACTGAACAGTCGAGCGACAGCGCAGACGAGAACGATAAAGGTATGGAGGATGGGGATGAGCGGCAAAGGAAGTCACCTGGGAGGGCGTTTGGTGGTCGGGTGTATTTTACTGTGGTTTACAGGTGTGACTAATACCGTGTCAACTCGGTTATGGAGTGTTTATGTTATTATGCTGAGTGTAAATGTTTCATGCTATGGGGAGCGGTGTTAAATGTTGTGACTGAGCTTTTTAGCGTGATCTAATAACCACATGTTCGACTCTCACATTTTTCATTGTAGCAATATGATCCAGGTTAACATGACACGGTTTACAAGTGTGTGTATAAACGAGTCCCATTTAACAAGAGTTGATTAATATCGGTGTAAATACGGGACCTCCCGGCTAACAGCACGCGGTGCGCGGCCACTCAGTCTGTCATGTCCGCTAGCCAGCCGTGTCCGCAGGACATTGTCCTATATGTCCTCCAGTCTGCCACTAACACCTGACGTGTCCTCAGACTCGGACCGAGCCGACTCAGAGCCAGAAGGCTCGGTGGACGGACGCGGCAGCGACGACAAAGGTATAACCGAGCGCAGATGATATCCACCGTCACTGGGTGTCTGGGGCCGTATTCACGTCGATCATTTTCGTAAGAATTTTCTTAAGTTTGACCTACTTCTTAAGTAAATTTTTTATTCACGTGAACTCCGTCGATAAAAACTAAAGAAGTGTCGACTTGAATACCAAATTATACTTACGAAAGAAAATCGACTTACGAAGTCGACGTGAATACGGCCCTCCTCTGGTATCCTGTATCCTCAGCTGGTAGGGAGGTGGCTACATGTAGCCAAAGGAGCAATGTAGGAGTGGGAGTAGTTAATGAACGGGCTAGCTAAATATAAGAGTGGAGTGGTGTGTGTGTGAGGGGGGGGGGGGGTATGGGACCTATAGATGTAGGCTTTGTGATAACTGGGGTATAAATGTAATCCCAGCCACCGCGGGTCTCTGTATTTCTTGCTCACCTCTTCCAACACCGCGGTGGTTCAGAGAGCGGGCGCCTCTCGTCGTCCCGGAGTTATGCGCCCCTACCACGGACGGTGGGCCGCCCCCGGCGCCGCCGGACCGGCCGCTGACGGGGGCCCGGGTGGCGCTGAGGGATTATCCAATCATGGCTGATGACCACAGAACGTGCGGGCTGAATTGTTAGTGGCCACGGACGGGTGTGGTCGGAATAAGTGGAGCGTTTGGCAGAGCAGTGGTGGTACTGAAAAGACCAGGAGCTCTGATGGTGATTGGTGGATCATGCATGACAGGTTATGGGTGGCTGTTAACGGGAATGGGCCTAATAAACCAGGAAACTGACTCGCATTCCTGCTCCCTATCTGATGATCTAAATGCTAACAACATACCCTGAATACAAATGTGCTTTCTGGTGAAATGGGCGCATGCATATGTACAGTAAAGTTCGTCGTTGTTTTAGCGAACTTCCAACCGTTATTTTGGAAGGGACTGCAAGTACACGGCTTGTCTTACATCCTTGTTTTATTTTTGTTGCAGTATTGCATGCTTTGTTGGAGGCTGAACTGTAAGTTAGGTTGCCTGGTATAACGAAGCATCGGATAAACGTGCCCGACGGGTTAACTCATATGTAGAACGATCGCTTCGAACGAACGAACGAACGATCGTTAAATCGCTTTGTTTATTTCACAGTTATATTGTGTAACTCGACTCAAGTTTCGACATCCCCTATCTCGTCCCTTTGACCCTCCTCCCTCCACCAGATCCCCTTCTAACCCCTCCCTCTTCTCCCGCAGAAAACGAGGACTATAACGAGCAGCTGGCCGAGCTAACCTCGGAGATCACAGTCAAACAGCGACTGATCGAGGAACTGGAGCGCTCCCAGCGGCGCATGGACACCATGAGACAACACTACGAGGAGAAACTGTCCCAGCTGAGCGGGAGGATACGAGCGACAGAGCAAGAGCGCGATAAAGTCATCTCCAACATCAGTGAGTGAGGGACTGGATTTGATCCTGGCGGATGAAGACTGGGTCGAGGGCTTGGAGTGTGAGATAGGTACTGAAGGTTTGTGAAGTAGGCAGTATGCTGGGGGTTTGTAGCATGTGTATTGTGCGGCTGTGCCTACGTCTAATCGTGTTCGCTGAATTTAGAATGTTTGGGAAGACATAATTTTGGAGCATAATTGGATGATAGTCGCATCTAAGATACCCTGAAGTTGTCGGGACGTGGCATACCCAAAGTTGCCGTTTGACATATGGCGTGCCAAGATGATATCGCCATCCGCTCACGTCGAGCCGCTGTCGGTATTCCATATCACCGTCTATTCCCATGTGACTGAACGACTGTGTAACACCCCCACCCACGTCCTCACCCGTCTCTCCTCTCTGCCGCAGCGTCCGGCCGTCGCTCCGGCGGCTCCTCAGACGAGGTCCGCAAGGTGAAGGACGACTATGAGAAGCGACTCTCCGAGATGGAGCGGGAGATGAAGAAGCTGCAGTCGGCCAAACGCGAGCACGCCAAACTGGTCCGCTCGCAGGGGCAGTACGAGCGACAGGTCAAAACGCTCAAGAGCGAGGTGACTGAAATGAAGAAGACAAAGGTGAGAACCAGCTGTACTGTGTAGACTCAAGTGCAAACCTGATCAACTTCCATGTACATACAGTTATCTATTTAGAGAAAAGATACGCCTGGTAGAAGATATTCGCTAACGTGACTCGAGTTAATGTGTCTTTTGTTTTGTGTCTCATCGCCAAAGCTGAAGGCGGCTACACAGTGTTTGCACTACTTTTTACGTTTGCCAACGATAAAAATTTCCTGGGTTATAATCCGCCTTCATTATTTCCTTTTCCCGCTCTTACCCTCAGGTGAAGCTGATGCAGCGTATGAAAGACGACGCCAACAAGATGAAACAGATGGACCTGCAGCACCACAGGGCCATGTCGCAGCTCAAAAAGGAGCACAGGAAACACGAAAACACGGTGAGACTACCGCACCACTGTCTGCCTGTGACTTGGAATTAGTCTGGAGTGCAGTGTAACGTTGCAGAATCGAAGGTTATCAACTAGAGTCTTTTCATATTATTACGCCGTAGCCTTTAATGTCTATTTCGCTGGTACTTCTTTCCATCGCCGTGACTTGTGACTGTCCTCCATCATTGTAAAGTTCAATCCTCTGCCGCAGTCGGTCGTCTCCCTGACCACAGCTGACCGCCATTCTCGCCACCTGTCTCACCACCCCCCGTGTCTGTCTCACCAGATCAAGTCGCTGGAGGCGGAGAAGAGGATGAAGGACGCAGTGCTGAAGCGAAAGCAGGAGGAGATTGTGGCGCTCCGCAGACTCGGGAAGCCCCAGCGCACTCGAAACAGACTCAGGCTCAAAGGTGTGTGGATGTGTGCGCTAAGTAACGCCTACGGGTGCGTGAAACAATGTGCGCATGTGAGACAAGCTCGTCAACAATGTCTAGAGCAGCATCTCAGTGCCTGTTTCTTTTCCTCCTCAGGCAGCGCCGACACGACCAAGCCGTTCTCGCCGGCTGCCGCCAAGAAGAAGTGGCAGTCGCTGGAAAAGACCATCAACCAGCTGGCGCTGAACAAACAGGCCGTGGCCAGCATGGAGAGGGAGATGGAACGGTCAGTAGCACTCTGTTTAATCGGGGAACCGTCTGTCTGTGATATGACGCTCTGAGCCGGCGGTAGGTAAATGAATTATAAATGAAATATAAATGAATTATAGCAACTGTTGTGTAATGAACCTTGGTTAACCCTCGCCCATGTAGGGGGGGGGGGGGTTGGTGCAACCCCCCCCCCCCCCTGAGGCTTTTCGGAAATAGTGCGAAAACGGCGGCGCGCAGCGCCGCCAAATTTTGGGTACCTTATGGGGCAAACCTTGCGCATCTTTTGATAAAAAAAAATTTGACCGGGTCATGTCAGGTCACGGAGTTATGACGTCACAAAGGGAACAGCCTCCGGCCGGATTTTCACAAACTGAGTGCCAACGCCCGAGGTTTCCTGCCGATGGTACGGAGATCGGTTGATGGATCGTGATGAAACTTCCCATGCATGTTGGGGCAAGTATTGGCTATCATATGGTATAAGAAACTTGACCGGGTCAGGTCAGGTCACGGAGCTATGACGTCACAAGAGGAACAGCGTCCGGTACTATTTTTGAAAAGCGCCCGAACTACTATTTTGCTAATTCTTGTCACCTCAATGGGAATATGCAGCAATATTAGCTTATATAGGGAGCAAATGGACCTCCCAAATCCAAAAATACAATCAGATTTCAAAAATTTGAATTTTGATTTTTCGAATTTCTGCCGCCGACTGTGACCTTGCCGACTTCCTGCGCTCCCAACGCGCCATTTTTAGAGCTAGGGAAACGAAATACATACCAAACGATAGAGAATTGATCAAGGAACACGATAGTGAAGGTTTCAAGTCGATATCTCCCACCGTTTTGCCGCAATCGCCACCGAAAGTTGAAGAAAGTCTATTTTTCCGAAAATTTGACCTTTGACCGGTCAAAAGTAGGTCAAATGTTGACCTAGGACCAAAAAATATACCACCAATCGCGAGATCTCGGCGAGAGCAATCCGTTGGTCTTTTCCGCTAAGCTCTACGACGCTCCGTTTTCAAACGCCAAGGGGGGGTCGCACCAACCCCCCCCCCCCCCCTGCATGGGCGAAGGTGGCAGATCGCCGTTTACGGGCGAGGGTTAAAGTTCCCGGTCTTTTATCGCTTACCTTCTATCGTAGATATGCTTATACGTAAGAGTAGAAGGGTATACCAATTGACATCGTCCATGATAGCTTTGTTACATGACAGCGTTTCTGTCATTCTCTCCAGGCACCTGAAGGAGCGCGAGTCCCTGCGCCGTCGTCTGGCGCGGGTGATGAAGCAGCGCGACAAGGTGCTGCTGGCCGGCTGCACGCGGCAACAGATGCTGGAGCTCGAGGAGACCATCGAGGGCATCCGCGCCAACATGGACTACATCAACGACAGCATCAACGAGTGTCAGACGGGCATCATGGCCATGGAGGAGTCCAAGGCGAGTGGCAGACAGTCTCAGGATCGGTCGGCTGAGTGGGACTTGATTGGCTGGCGGGGTTACTCGTGAGGGTTTGACACTTGTTTTCTTCTGTTGCGCCTCAAGGCCCCGACTTGCTTAGTAATGAAACGATAACATATTTATGTAGTCATATGCATAAGTCTGTTGCATATCCTGTCAATTGCAGCTACCTTATCTGAACATCCCAATTTAGGTTGTCAGCTGCAGCTGCAGCCACCATCACAAGGTCAAGAGGACAGCGACCTAACGGTATACGCCCCTGACCTCTGTCCTGTGACCTGTCGTCTTCAGGAGGACCTGCCGATCCAGGACCCGGCCCAGCTGGTTCGTAACATGCAGGACCAGGAGGAGATGGAGTACCTGCTGGAGAAGCTGATCTCGATGACCATCCACCAGAGCTGCGTGGCCGCGCAGCACGAGGCCACCGCTAAGGACACCGAGGTCAAAATGGAACAGGTGAGAAAATACCGACAACGCACGCTAGCACAGGAAGGTTAACCTGGAGTCGCACGATAGCAAAAACTGTAGTTGGTTTGGGGGATGCTCAGCAGTCGACAGGTTGATGTCAAATTCCAATCTTCAGCTCAAATGACTGGTATGGCCCTGAATGAAAAAAGAAGGATGTTGAATAGCGATCTCTGCTAAAAATGTCTGATACATTTGTGGTGTTTGTGGCATGACTCTCTCTTCCAGTTCGGCACAGATGAAGCAGACGGGTATCGTTCAATAGATGTCAGGGATGGCCAGTGACGCTGTATGTCCCCCGGCCCTCAGATGGAGCAGACGGGTATCGTGCAGCAGCAGCTGCTGTCAGGGAGTCCTGTGTGGTATGTGACGCTGTCTGTCCCCGGCCCTCAGATGGAGCAGACGGGCATCGTGCAGCAGCAGCTGCTGTCAGGGAGTGTTGTATGGTGTGCAGGGATGCGGAGCCGGAGCCGGAGTCGGAGCCGGAGCCGCCGGAGCCGGCATATTTTGCCCGGAGCCGGAGCCGGAGCCGGAGCCGTGAAACAATATAGCCCGGAGCCGGAGCCGGAGCCGGAGCCGCCAAAAAAGAGGGCGACTCCGGCTCCTTTTTTATTTTTTGAAGAGGAAAAAAAATAATTGACCTAGTTCGGTTTGACAGTACAAGGCAGTAAAGCATATGATAAGTACGTCATGGGCCATCAAGTGAATGAAAAAAAGCCGAATATCCCCAGTATCCCACAGTACGCAATCAACTTTCTGTCTGCTCCTCCTCGCCCCCCCCCCCCCCCACGTCTACTGCATCCCCAGAACATGAGGACCGGTCATCAGGTGACGGCCATTGTTTTGAAGCCAGTGCAGTGGACTGCGACTCCCAGCACCGTCTCTTCCCCCCCCCCCCCCACCCTCCCCCCATGCAGCCGAGACGAATGTCAGCTTCAGTGAACTCCGATTGATTGATTGATTGATTGTTGAGTAGGTGCTTCGGTCCGCGTGGACCATTTCGCACCATAATAAGTTACCTATTTAAGATGGGAACGTGAAGATAGTTATTTCTAGAGTCTGTCGAGGAGGTCTATTGTGGAGAGAAAAGAGAAAAGAAGCTTGAGCAAAGCGGAATGTTCGTCTCCTAAAATAACAGACATTGTCATTGGCACGCCTTGTGCCCGACAGTAGTCTTCCATTGGTTTCCTTTTTCTAGCGTGATTTAAACAGTGTAAGACAATGTGTTCGATGGTGAGTGTTGTCCTGCATCGTAAACATACAGGTCTTGGTTGTCGAGAAAAAATGAATGCATGAGTGAGATATGTATGACCTATGCGCAACCTTGTCAAGACCTTTTCTTCTCTTCGGGACGGACGAGTTGATGATTCCCAGTGAGCTATAAGTGGTTTAATGCGATGAAGGTGTGTACCTGGACCATCCGTGTCCCAGATGCGCTGCCAAAGTTGATGACAATGACGTTTTATTGAAGACTGAATACTACTAATATCAATGGAAGTTTCAGTTACGATAGGGAGATCCAGAGATTGCTTAGCATATCTATCTGCTTCCTCATTTCCGTGGATACCACAGTGGCCTGGTACCCATAAGAAATGTAGTTGTACCCCTTTTTTCCTTAATGCTTCATGAAGGTTTCGAATGTTGATTTTGATGTGCTGGGTCAATTCTGGATTTTTCAAGTATTGAATGGCAGATTTTGAATCGGTGCAAATGCATGCATGCTGAATACTGTTTTGCTCAATGAGTTTAAGTGCATGCAAAACCGCATGCATTTCCGCCGCGAATACTGATGACTCATCAGGTAACTCCGATTCGCGGCGACTGCGTTTCCAATGCCATCGCTTCCTAGTCCTTTGTTCTGCCAGTTCTCTCCGAGGTGCGTTTGCGCGGGGACGCGGTGAGCCGGTCATGGCAAAGAGTAACGCGTATAACCAATCCAATTTTTTCTTCCACCCGTATTTAATTGATTGCATAGGGGATGTACTGAGTCGGAGCCGGAGCCGCCGGAGCCGGACCATTTTACTCGGAGCCGGAGCCGGAGCCGGAGCCGCCATAACATTTCACCCGGAGCCGGAGTCGGAGCCGGAGCCGATTTTTTTCTCCGGAGCCGGAGCCGGAGCCGGAGCCGTCTGAAATTTCCACGGCTCCGCATCCCTGATGGTGTGTGTATGGTGTGTGACCCTATCTCTCCCCCGGTCCTCAGATGGAGCAGACGGGTATCGTGCAGCAGCAGCTGCTGCAGCACCTACTGACCGAGGAGGGCGGTCTGGACGCCACTGTGCTCTCCCTGATCGCCGAGGCCGGGCAGCAGGAGCCCAGTGACGGCTCCGCCTCGGACGGGGAGGCCGCCGACCAGCCGCCGGCCTGGGCCGCGCCCGCTCCGGCCCGAGACAAGGCCAGGAGAAAAACCACCACCACACAGGAGCTGCTGTATTCGAACGGCGGCAGCGGCGACCCGTCCCCTGCCGGCTCTCCGGCGGCTCAGGAGGGCCGCGGGGGACGATCCAGTGGCGGAGGGGACGCCGACGGGCGGCTGGCCATGCCGCCGCCGCCCCCGCCCGCGCAGACAGGCGTGCCGCCGGCGTTCACCCGGTCTCTGCCGCAGCCGCCGGCCGCACCGCCCGTCTTCTCGCGATCTCTGAGTCACACGGTGTCCGGAAATGACACGGTGTCAGGATCGAGCAGGTGGGTGGAAGATAAGGTCCTTCCTCAATCCATGTCCACTCCCCAGTTAACCGAACTGACGTGTGTTAAATGTTTGATACAGTTTTGTGTCACAGGTACTGATCTGCAAATATTTTGTGCCATTCTGTGGGATTTTCTACTAAGATTCGTGTCTTACCAAGAGGTCTAATAAAACTCAGGACTTTTTTGGCCTCCTAGATTTACACACCATAACCGCGACTCTTTTGATCGCTCATCTTTTGCCGCTTTGCCGTCATTTTAGCCCTTCTAACGCCCCTAACCACCTGTTTATAACTCCCTCCGATGTCCCTGTGACCCTACCCGGCGCGGTGTGCGGTGTGCTGGGTCTGTAGCGGGCGGGGCTCTCCCCCTGTATGTGACAGGACATTTGGCCGCCCCGACCCGCGCCCCTCGCCGCTGCTCGGCCGGCGAGCGTACAAGGACTCGCTGTCGCCTCGGCTGGCGCGACGCCATGTGACCATTACTAACAACACCTTCAGACCGTGAGTATGGAGTTTGGGAGGAACGGAGAGGCAGGTCGTACTGGGGTTTATTTAGGTGTCATCTGCAGTATGCTATAGATTGAGGATGGAGGAGCGATGGATTTGGCTGATATTGCTGAGACTCGAGGTCAGTTCAGTTAAATATCAGATCCGTGGATTTTATGTGTCACTCATTTTGATGGAGAATCGTTTTGTATAGATAAACGTATTTGATTTAACTTTGGTGGGGTCTATCAGTCGCGGCAGTCACTGATTTACTTGGCTGGAGGCCGGGCCGCCTCATTTTTTTTCCACCGGGTGTCGGCTGTAATTTGTTTTCTTCAATATAAATAAGTTCAAAACGCTGACTATTTTCAACCAACACGCTCAGTTAATGTTCGGTGGCATCCTAGCACTGCTGCTGATCTAACCTGACCTAACCTGATCCGTCAGGCCCCCAGCTCGGAGAGCAGCGGCGATGCGGCCCCTCCCTGTATTTAATTATTCTGTCCTGACCCTCCCGGACCTGCCCTGCCCCCAGCTCGTAGACGAGCGGCGTTACCCCTCCGGGCTCTTCTTTTTGTAATTCTGATCCAACCCTTCCCGTCCCCAGCTCTGAAACCAGCGCTGTGACCCCGCCCGGCTCCCCGGCCTCGTACCGCCGCCAGATGTGTAACCCAACCCTTCCCGTCCCCAGCTCTGAAACCAGCGCTGTTACCCCGCCCGGCTCCCCGGCCTCGTACCGCCGTCAGATGTGTAACCCAACCCTTCCCGTCCGCAGTTCTGAGACCAGCGCTGTGACACCGCCCGGCTCCCCGGCCTCGTACCGCCGTCAGATGTGTAACCCAACCCTTCCCGTCCGCAGTTCTGAGACCAGCGCTGTGACACCGCCCGGCTCCCCGGCCTCGTACCGCCGTCAGATGTGTAACCCAACCCTTCCCGCCCCCAGCTCTGAAACCAGCGCTGTGACTCCGCCCGGCTCCCCGGCCTCGTACCGCCGTCAGATGTGTAACCCAACCCTTCCCGCCCCCAGCTCTGAGACCAGCGCTGTGACACCTCCCGGCTCCCCGGCCTCGTACCGCCGTCAGATGTGTAACCCAACCCTTCCCGTCCCCAGCTCTGAAACCAGCGCTGTTACCCCGCCCGGCTCCCCGGCCTCGTACCGCCGTCAGATGTGTAACCCAACCCTTCCCGCCCCCAGCTCTGAGACCAGCGCTGTGACACCTCCCGGCTCCCCGGCCTCGTACCGCCGTCAGATGTGTAACCCAACCCTTCCCGTCCGCAGTTCTGAGACCAGCGCTGTGACACCGCCCGGCTCCCCGGCCTCGTACCGCCGTCAGATGTGTAACCCAACCCTTCCCGCCCCCAGCTCTGAAACCAGCGCTGTGACTCCGCCCGGCTCCCCGGCCTCGTACCGCCGTCAGACGTCCCGGGAGGAGAACGTGTTCCACCGGCTCACCTCCTCCGGACCGGCACAGGTAACTGACAGGGGAGGTAGGATAGGGGCGCAGGGATTGCGACAGTAGGACAGGTAACTAACTGATCGTGACTGGAACTGTTATGATTGTAGTCGGGGATTGCAAAGTAACTACCTGTTACTGCAAAGTAATATGCAAGCAATACATCACTCACACCTTATACCCAATTACATACCTACGTCACTCCTTTGAAGGAGTGATGTAGGACGTTTGTTGGAACCAATTTATGTGCTATTGCAGCTGTGTTGCGATATTTGCTTTCTGCTTTCGTTGTCGTCCATGCACCATTTTTCAGAAGCAACTTCATTTTACACTACGTATTGTACGTAAGCAGCCCACTCCTCCCATAAATACCAGTGTAACATCCGGGCTCTCGCCGTCCCCAGGAGGAGTGTCACGAGGTGGGCGTCATCACGCCGTACCAGGGCCGGGCCGGGCGCGCCCCACTCGTCTGCTCTCACGTGGCTGAGGGTCACGCCAAGGCGGTGCTGTCAGTGTGTGCCACCGATGACATGATGCTGTCCGGGTCCAAAGGTGAGTCAGCGGTGGACGAGGTGAGCGGATGGATGAGAGACTACAGATGGGGAAATTTTATTTAGATGGTCAGCCATTTACAGACTCGAAAATGTGGCTCGTTGCAGACCGGGCGTTGGTGTGGTTACGGGTTGAGTCGGGTCATCAATACAGTGTCTGATAGTGTGTCCTGTTTTGGCCGGACGGTGAAGGTGTGAGGTTGTTAGTACACTCTCTGACAGTATGTCCGTTACAGACCGTACGGTGAAGGTGTGGGACCTGGGGTCGTTAGTCCAGTCTCTGACAATGTGTCCCGTTACAGACCGGACGGTGAAAGTGTGGGACCTGGCCACCGGCCGCCAAGTGCAGCTCCTCACCGGCCACCCCAATAACGTGGTGTGTGTCCGGTACTCGGAGGCCGCCCAGATGGCCTTCAGCGTGTCATCGGCCTTCGTCAAGGTCTGGGACCTGCGGCAGGGCGGCGCACAGTGCATCAAAACGCTCAGGTGGGTGACCAAAAATATTTGCACCTTGAACTTTGAAGACAATATGATGGTGCGTGTTTTTTTTAACGTGACCATTATTATTTGCTTAGTGTTTCTCCAGAAAGCCAGACTCATTTTGTATTACCTGGATGCAATAAAACTTCTTTTTCCATATTCGTCTGTTCGTCATCTTTTGACCGTTTATGATAACCTGTCGGTTCATTGCAACTCGTCGGGTCTTGCCTCATGCCGCGTCGGTTCAGTTCAGTTCCCCGATCACTCACCATACCCTGTCGGTTCATTACAGTTCCTCGGGCTCACTTCCGTCCTGTACTTGTTCATTACAGTTCCTCGGGTCTCACCTCTGCCACTGTGGCCGTCTCCACGCCGTCCCGGACGCTGCAGATGCCTCAGGGAGAGTCTCAGATCAACGACGTGTGTGTGAGCAGCAGCGGCCTGGCACTGTACACGGCCAGCCAGAGCACGGTCAGGATGTGGGACCTCAGAAAGTGAGTCCGGTGGGAATGTGGGACCTCAGAAAGTGAGTTGGATGGGGATGTGGGTCGTGGGACCTCAGAAAGTGAGTTGGAAGGAATGTGGGTCGTGGGACCTCAGAAAGTGAGTCGGGTGGGGTGTGGGTCGTGGGACCTCAGAAAGTGAGTCGGAGGGAATGTGGGAGTGGGACCTTAGGATACGAGTCGGGGACATCACGCAAAGCTGGGACATACAGCAAGTCAGGGATGGGGGGGGGGTCGGAGACTGGTGGAACAGAGACGTGGAACCCCAGAAGACGAGTCGAATTTATGGAAGGCGTAGGCCGAAGTGAGAGCAGGGGCGTGGAAAAAGTGTTATTGAGAAAAGGATGTGGAAATTTCGGGAAATTAGTCGGGTGACGTGGGACGTACGATAGATATTCTGATTCCAATGCGACAATGAGATGGTGCACCATCGCCCGTCCTGAACCGATTGACGTTTGGTGTGCATTCGCTCCACCCACAGACAGACTCAGAATCCCAGACTATGATGCTCCTCAGGATATGTAGATATTAACTCTATTTGTCCCCGGCAGGTTCCACAGCGTGGGTAAGCTGAGCGGCGGCCACCAGGCGGCCATCATGTGTCTGGCCGTGGACCGGCGGCGCGGCGGAGACCTCGTCCTCACCGGTTCCAAGGACCACTACATCAAGGGCTTCGAGGTGCCCGACGACACAAACGGCATCGTCCAGCAGAGTCTGAGTCTGGACCCGCCGCACTACGACGGAATCCAGTGCCTGGTGGTGGCCGGCGGGGACACGCTCTTCTCCGGGTCCCGCGACGCGTGCATCAAACAGTGGGACCTGCGACGACAGACGCTGCTCCAGGTAGGGGCTGCACGGCTCGGTGGTCAGTGGTAGCTGGGGCTCTGGGGAGAGGGTCAGGAGCTGCAGAGTCGATGAGATGGAGTGTATACTGTAGCGTGCAGCTATATTAACGTTACTGATGTATGCTACAAAATGTTGTCAATACTTATCGCTGCCGGTCAGTAGGTGCACTGCGTGATATTACTAATGCTGCTCGTACTGAATTTCGGAACTTTTTGAAGTTCGAAGTCAGTGGAACGCTCGCCTGTCATCTTTGTAATCATCCTACTGTACCCACCCCAGAGTGCGATCAAAGCTGAACATGACTGAATATAACTCCACCTACCACTTTCACGCCATCAGAGCGTCAGTAACGCGCACCGAGACTGGATCTGCGGCCTGAGTCTGGCGCCCGGCGGCCAGGCCCTCCTCTCCGGCTGCCGTGGCGGCGTGGTCAAACTGTGGAGCGTGGACGGGTGTCAGCCCCTCGGCGAGCTGAAGGCGCACAACTCTCAGATTAACGCCATCGCCGCCAACCAGTCGCACGTCTTCACGGCCGCCAAGTGAGTAAAGACGTGACAGAAGATGTTGGGTGGTGTGTGTGGGGGGGGGGGAGGGGGAAGGGGAGAATGGTGATATGCGGAAATGGAAATGAAAAAGGAAGAATTAATTGACTTAATCCCTCAGATCGTTTTAGCAGTTGGTCCATGACTGTAGTTAGATCGTTATAAAGTGAAGAATGTTCCCGTGTTGTTGCTGTTCCAGTTTTCTGACTCTCCCTCTGTCCATTTTCAGTGTTTTTAGTCGTCGGTTCTGGTCGTGCTAACCGGGATAATGTTTGTGCTGCTATATGTTGTAACTAATTTACATATTGTGTGATTGTATGCTGCTGTGCGTACGCTAGTGTGTCCGGACCGTGTGTGCCTAGTGACTGACGATAATTGATATTTAGTACCTGGACTGGTCTTCTCGTATTGATAGTGTAACTGTGCTCAAAATAGCTAATAGTCATGGGTGACTGACGATCCCCCTTTGTCCTGTTGTGGCCGTCCGCCCCAGTGGGTTAAGTCGTCCCGGCTAGTATCCACTGTGACTACACTAACGCTGGTGCGCCGGACAGGACGTATAATCGGACTAGTAGCAGGCTGATACACTTCCCCAGAGTTTCATCGTCGCTCCCAGTGTGCCAGTGGGCCTTGGGCGGGCTGCTGTCGACTGCAGTGTATTGGGTGGTCTCCCGCGGCTCCCTCCCGTCTAACCCTGCCCCCTCTCCGGTGTGACAGCGGCGGCGAGGTGCCGCTGTGGCGGCTGGCCACCGGAGCCGTGCTCTCCCCCGGCTCCCCTCCCCCATGTGACTCCTCCCCTACGGACCCCACAGCGGCGGTGAGGTGTCGCTGTGGCGGCTGGCCACCGGCGCCGTGCCCCCTCCCCTCCCCTCCCCTAGTCTCTGACTCCTCCCCTACGGACCCCACAGCGGTGGCGAGGTGTCGCGGTGGCGGCTGGCCGCCGGCGCCGTGCCCTCCCACCTCTGCTCCGCCATGACGCGGTCGACGGGCCGCGTGTTCTCGCTGGCCGTATAGCCCCTCCGGCCGCCGCCGCGCGCCCTCCTCCTACTGGCCGCGCTGGCAGTCGCAGCTTACGCCGCCGCCGCCGTGTGGCGCCACTGTGCGGCCGCGCGCCACCCGCACCAGACCGAGCACGACCCCGACCCGTCCTAGCTTTGTCCATACCTAGACACACGGTTGAAACCACCTGACGCGCCCGGACCTGACCCAATGGCTGCTAGTCTGATCATCTGATGCATCGGCCAACCAGCTTTATTTTTCCCGCTTTATGTGGTTATAGCTCGTCTTGTTTGGTGTCGGTTGGTATGTGTTGTGCTTCTTGTTTGTGTTTTGTGCTGCCTGATTGGTTGTTACGTGTTACAAACCCTGCGCGAGCACTGACACTCCAGTTATATTGGAGAGGGCTCGGTTTACAACGTTGCTCGTTACGGCATAAACATTTAATTGCTTACGTTTTTTGCAATTTGTCCTGAGTCCTGTGTTTGAAGCATTTCGCTGATTGTTGACAACCTTTTTCATGCATGAAACTTGTCATTCGCCCCGTATCTCGTGTACCATTTTACAGGCTCTGCACCGGCTGCGCCCTGCACTGCACCGCCAGTGCATGTCGACTGACCCGCACGCTCTGTGCCCTCCACTGACCTCTGTGTGACCTTTGTGTGACCCTGCCTGCCCGCGCTCTGCACAGTGACCACACGGTCGGCCTGTGGCGGCTCAGAAACTCGCCGGACGCAGACGGCGATCCTGCGTAGCCAGTCAGTACAAACGACGTCAGCGCCACCTGGGGCGGCGCTAATTACCGGCTCCGCCCAGAGATGGCGCGCGCGTCGGCGGCGGTGGCCGATCGGAGTCGACGGTGATGCGATTATGTTGGAAGGAAAGTCAGTGTGAGTTGTGTGCATGGCCGTGATGAAAGTCGATCGAGTGTCGAATGTCAACCCGCTAACAAGATTCGGCTGTGATGATGATGGCGGTTTTCCTAACGGCAGTAGTGTGCAGAGTAACTTATTTTTTAACGTGTGCGCGGTAACCCTGATGTCAACATTCCATTTTGTTGAGTCGTTTTATTGTCGTTGCTTGTTTTCTATTCAGAAATAAACGATCTGATTAGACTCGTGTTTGTTTTTACAAATCTGCTTGGTGGAGGAATGCGCGAGGAAGGTGGTTCACCTCTCTGAGCCACGATACCGGCCTGGGCAGTGGGCATGCAGTTGCAGAGGCTTCGAAACGAAGCACTCTGGTTGCCTAATTACCACTGTGCTAGCAAAATGCAGGGGTGCGTAACGATCATTTAACCTTCACCACCCGAAGCAATGTAACCCGAGTTCACATAAGTCAAAGGTTCGACAGCTTAAATACAGTCCGACAGTATTACCCTTATTTGAACGTGCAGTAATATTGTGCCCGGGACTGTATGGTGGCGGTCACTTGGGCCACGCGCGGAGAGATTTAGGTCCACAAGGGGACGAACGCTCACTCCTGTCGTACACAAAATCTTCGTGCATTCCATTCCTTTGGAAGAAGCTTCGGGTGATGTTTTTTTACGTGACATGAGCAACAGCATTTAAGTCCAATATTTTGTTTCACCTCATATCCCGTTAATCCGTAACATAAATAGGCAGTGAGGCACCGTACCTAATACGTCACCGGGTTTCTCTAAATCTGCCTCCTTCAGACGAAGACGGACATCCACAAACGCAGTCCTCTGACCCAGCGCCCTGTGCCTGCCCTCAACTGTCACCGTTTTCAAATCATCAGCGATCCCCAATGGTGCGGACCAATTACCGGCGACGACAATGGTCGTCGCCGGTAATTGGTCCGTCACTCGGTCCGCTAGCCGGGGACATCAGCGGCACTCCCAGATAGCGTAAGAGACAGAGACGCTAAGTCATTTCTGATGGCTCCACGCTGAGACAGTGGAGAGGCTGAGGGACAGAGATTTGATGGTTTTCGATTAGATAAAGGAGCGGGGGATGGAACGACTTCAGACAAAAGTTCGAGACAGTTGATTGATTGAATTGAATGAACTCAGACCAAAATCATACGGAAAATTTATGGTAGCACTAGTGAGTCCGAGCGGGTAGAAGAGAAGTTTTTAGTTCATCCATAGCGAAGTTCGTTCGGTGATACTTGCCGTGAGCCAACCCTCATCCGCCACAGTTGATCTGGATCTCGGTGACCGTCGTAAACGGTTCAACCTGTGCTGGTCCGCCTGTTCCATCTGAGACGGCGGACATTTGTGGCCGCCCTGAGGAACAGATGACACCCGATCCCATCTCCGCACAGACACTGCTCGAGAAATCCCCGACACAGAGGGGCAGAGTCGTCACTGTAGCGCGTGGGTCGATCTGAGGGCCATTACCATACAGATGAGCGGCCGGCTAGGGCCGGCGGTGGACCCATGGTGCTCCATCAGGCCCATGGCTGTGGGTAATGCCTCTGATACAATCAGTGAGAGCCCGTCACGGCGCGACCTTCTAATGCCTGTCTGACCTCCGAGCGTACCCCGAGTCGTGGCCGGTCAGTTTTCAACACGTAGACACAACATATCCGGGGACTATCTGCCCCGGACAGACTGCTGACAAATACACATGGACCCTGCTTCAGTCAGGAAACATCCATGGCCGGAACGCCCGACCGCCGACTCAGAACACAATCACCGACACAAACCACCGCACCGGTCCGGCGCGTTCCAGGCGCCTTGTTTCCGTTCAGTTGTTCCGTCAGCCAACACGGCTGCAGCTGTTTGCCGTCGACCGGACGGACACCGCTGAATGCCTGCCCACACTGTTTACCTCAGGGCAATTGTTCGGCTTCCTGCGCGGTTGTAACGCTCGTGCAGCGAACAAAGTCCCGCGAGCGAGCCGGCCACGCATGTGCGTGAGGCCGGGGAGGGAGCGGCACGTCTGCTGAACGGTGCCAGCGGCGGTGACGGCGGTTGGGGGCGGGGCTTTCATTAGCAGGAACAATGGCCGGGCGCAGGCCGAGGTCAGGAGAAATGGTCGAACGCGTCGAACACCTGTCTAAACAATCCATAACCAGCGGGCGAAGATGGCACTCGGGCCGATGTTTTAACCACATATGGTCGGTGTGTTGTAAAAAAGATCATTTGGGTAGCCTTTTAGCTTAATAGCGGGCTGTCAGTTCCACTCTTCGTATCTCCTAATTCATCACGACCATTGTCATTTCCGAGCTGTCTCGATCTGCCAATAAAACAGCCACTGACACGCCTATCTGTGCGCGATCATCCAGCCGCCCTCCGGCCGCTCGTACCGCAGACCGCAGTCTGGACTCGTGATTAGCGCCATCCCATTACTGTCTTAGATTGACCGGTTGGTCAGAGCGTTCAGCTCATCAGCGTCCCCCTCCGCTGATTTCTCCCCGGGAGAGGACTGCGCCATCGTTAGAGGCACGCGCCCTCCCTGCAGTGCACCCCTGCGTTGCACCCTGCACCCTGCAGCCTCCCAGTGTGTCCGGCAGCCCACCAACACGGGGACAAAGCAGCGAGAGGCGGGGCGCTCGTGCGTGCCGGACTCCCAACGAAGGGTTAGTGAGCAGGATGACTGGACGAGAATTGAGCAGCGGTGGCCGCAGTGGACGAACCGCATAGCTGAACGTAGGGTGGACAGGAGACGGGGCTACAGGATATGACGGAGCATCACTGATTGGAAATGAGACGACGGTTACACGTTAGTCACTGCAGATGCTCAGAAGGTGGCATGTCCGCTACAACACATTCAGAGACTCATCGTCACGGGTCAGGGGACACGAAGGTCGTGGCCGGAACCGAGCACAGGCAGACGACCTCAAGGCTGGAGTGGTGGCGTCAATGACCTCCAAGTGCCATATGGAGCTTAGACTGAAGTTCACTGGTCACCAGAAAAACACAGGACATTTAAACGGTCACGGGTTTGCCACGTGTCTAACCAGTCGTCTCGTCTTTCTCACCTCACGAGGTCAATGCCACCTGAGTTCTTCGGGATCTCTTCTCAGCTGACCCGGAACTGGGCGTCACCGACGCCATGGACACGTGACCCCTTGGCCCTTCCGGGGCCCAGCAGCCACCAGACGGAGACCTTGGCACACCTGAGACGCCCGGCAGTTCGTGTTCAGTCAGTCGGTCGGGCGGCGGCAGAGGCGGCGGGGAGGCTGCGCCGCACACAAGGTCCGACTCTAATGGATCCATTCAAAGCTCCACCGTCTCCACAACACACTCATGGATCAGTCGCATAGGTGTGGGACGGTGTGTCATGATAGACGAAAGCGTACGGCGTATTTGGGTACGACAAATTCTTCTTGCTTACGCAACGTCGTCTATTCACTGGCCTGGTGTTATTGCGACGCTTGTAAGCAGTAATTACCTACCTTGTTACATAACGTGTCGTGGAGATTAATTCTGTGAAATGCCTTGACATTCAAGGTAATAGCCGTATCATGTTCAATGTCATGGGATGGCTTTTGCGGCAGCAATGACTGATGTGAATGACCGTGCTAATGAGACCTCCAACAAACAGCACCGCGGGTGGGTAGGCGATTGAGGACTAATACAGGTAGGTATGATTTGTGACTCATTTTAATCACGTATCCTTCCGTGCAATCTCTTGCCTTGCCGCTTGCCGCAAATCACGTGCACTCCCCGTTCTCCTCTATATATTCAGCTTATCGGACCTCATCCATCATCCAGCTCAGCCTGTTCATTTCCTCCCGTCCTCTACCTGTCCACCTCCCTGTGTCACTGCACCTCTACCCGTGTCGGTCGCCGCCCTCTCCCCGTATCGCAGCAATCGATCTGTCGTGCGGCGCGCGATACCACCTCGCCTGTCCTCGGGGACACCGCCCCGCCCAGCTGGGGCGCGGAGAGACGGAGACGGAGACGGACATAGAAGGAGACGGAGACGGAGACAGAAACGAAGAGATGAAGAGACGGAGAGACGGAGACGGAGACGGACATAGAAGGAGACGGAGACGGAGAGGACTGAGACACTTCGGTGGAAACGAAGACGGAGATAGGCGGGGACGGAGAGGGAGACTGAGGGAGAGACACAGACAGAGAGACATGGACGGAGATGGAGACGAAGACGGGGACACCCAGCGGAGACGGAGACGGAGACAGAGGAGACGGTGACGTTGACGGAGACATTGACATTGACGGTGACGGAGACAAGTAAGGGAGACTCCATCCGTGCTGTGTCGCAGTCGGTGCAGAGACTGTTTCTCTCGGTCATCGAGCATGGGCGGTGGGCTCATCAAGAGGTCAAGGGCGAGGCCTGAGCCCGATATTATAGTGTTGAGTGAAGCTTTCAGTCCTTTTGTGCAGGTAAAGCGCAGGTGTTTATTTTAAAAAATGCACCGACCACCACTGCAAAGCTGCATTGTGGAACAGGAAGGGCTTGTGGCATGACTAGTCGAACGAGCTGAAACTGATTTGCATGCCGTTAAGGTTTAGCCTAGGTATGTCTGGTCGATGTAGGCGGCACTGAGGAACAGTATCAGACAAATAAGGTTCGCAGTTTGCTGGAGATGATTAGGGCACTAACTCGTAAATTAGTGGTTATGCTACCTTAAATGTTGCCGGTCGTATTGTTTGTGTGGTATTCCGTAGTTCTAATTGACATGCGATTTTATTGACACCGTAACTATTGTTACACATACCGATCTTGAAGGTAAGCCGACACATAAAAGTTACGACTTTTCGTATTGCAGCCCTATTCGGTTTCAGGCATCCAAGTGTATCGTCCAGTCCAGTGGTCATTAGCAGGCATTTATTTTGTCACGGACGGCTGCCCGCCTTCCTCATTCTTGTTCCATGACCACATTTCTCCTGGTTAACACGCAATGACATTAAAATTTTAATCGCTATAGTTCGTTTTATTTCAAAAGGACGCTGGCTCCCAGTATGTTTTTCGAACAAGCACGTGTTTTAGCTAGCAAAACGGGCAAAAACTGAACCTGAGAAACTCGAACGTCGCCTTATTTTAACATGTGAATTATTCCCGATAAATTCCATGCCTGCGTTTTGGAACTAGACATGAGAACAGTGGTGACGTCATGCTGTGAAGCTTGCATTGCAATGCAACGCATAACTATTATGGAAAGAATCGATTACTCGATT